CAGAGGAAGAAGGGAAGTTGACTGGGGCAGTGAGTTTGACAACGTCCATCGTGCCGTTATCCAATTTAGTGCTCTCTGCACCAGCATTATTTTATCTGGTTATCATCAGAAGATCAACTGATAATCAAAGGCATTACATTAATATGCGTACATCAGGCAAATATTATGATCTGGATCGGCAGTCATACGCTTGGATACAAGTGAACACATTCCAGCTCTTGACATCAGTCATTCTTAGTACTAAACATTGAAGTATAGTATAGTATATACACTCAATTTAAACACGTGTGTGTATATATAAAAAATCCTACCTACCAATAAGCTGTTTTGTTGCCATTTTCACATCAACTGCTTTGCCAGTTGTCTCCTGAATACAATCGTTCTCATCCTCAGAAGAATGTCCGGAGTCAGAGCAGTCGGCAGCGTTCACCTCCTTCATCAAGTCTTCAATTGCAAAGGGAGCCTGGTCAATGATTGTGGTGAAGATACCCGAGCATATGGCGCTGAAAAGACTCTGACTGTTGCGTAAGACATAAGAAAAGATCAGTGGTTAGGTGGCATTTTAGCATCTCTAGAACAGAAATACACCCAACTATAGATTCGGACATTGCTTTTGAATTGTTTCTCCAGAATAGTTCAAAATAAATAAATGAAACTACTGTCTGTATTTTGTCAATACCAGGACAGATATTCAATGTTGATATAAGACATGCCCAAATTAGTTCCCATCCTATCATACAGTACAGACTGTACAACAGTACTCGTGTGCGCTGCTTTATTCCCGCAACCAAGTAAGGATCCTTATAACACGAATCAAGTACAGTTGCGGCAAAGTGCAGAGACGCTTTATTGCTGCGATTAAAAAACAAAAAAAAATTACATCTGCTACAGATGCATCAGAGAAGCTGATCTCTTCAGTTAGCTGCTCAAATGGGGCAAGGAGAGAGAATGTTTTCTATTAAGACCCACTGGCGTGAAGTGAATATCACGGGGAGTTCCTAGTCTGTGCTGTATGCAGCCACGACTCGTTTTTGCGGAAAGAGGCTTTGCTTCCTCTCATATTCAGCATGGCGCTCAGGATGTTTTTCAATCTTCTAGCCATAACGTTGTTACATGTTCCGGCTGTTTTGTTCCAGTGATAAAAGTCTTAAAAACCGAAAATGCACTTTTATTATTTATTTTTATATATTTTATATATATATATATTTTTTTTAATAATATTCAGTGCATCCTTAGTGGTAAGACATCACTATTGCAAAACTGATGTTGAACAGTATTACAGTTGCCTTATTGTGAGAAAATACTTACTCTTTGGTTTTGGCTGCAATTTTGCAGTAAGGTTCAATAAACATCAAATTTTGATTTGCTGTGAGCTGTAAAAAAAGAAAAAAATATTTTAAATGGACTATTACACCGTTTTGTGAATGCATACATTTTATAGGAGAATTTTCTGTATTTTTACAGTACATTCAGCTTCTCAAATCACTGTACTTCAGCTTTGAACAAACTTCCAGCCCCCGGGTCCAATTCCAGCTCATGAACCCTTACCATCTGGCCTAGTGGCAACAGTGGCACTCAACTGATCTGAGTTCATGGGACACATACGGCCCATTATGCCTTTTATTCCATCTTGCTAAACTTGACCAAACTATATTCTTAAATTATTTTTATCTTTAGACTTTTTTTATTATGCCTTTTTCCCTGCAATGCCAGTGTTCTCCCAGTAGACGGCAGTGGCAGCTAACCCTTTGTTTGAACTTCAGTAAAAATAAGTGGGACAGCGAGTGCCGGGGAGTGGAACAAAAAAAAAAGTTTTTCACTGAATTCCAATCAACGACTGTATGTCTCATATGCCAAGAAACTGTTGTGGGTTTCAAAAATACTAACATAAATACAATATCAACCATCAACTTCTCAAATGTACCACTGCTGTAATGCATGAACGATGCAACATAGGGTTAAATGATCATTTATGGTGTGCGTTTAGCCTAAAACAGCCTGAAACTATTTTTTTCTAGTGAACAACAGTAAAAACTTCCTGCTCTGGAGTGCAATTCTTTCTCAAGCAAATTAAATAAAAATTTTTTTTTAAAATTTTTGTTTATACAAGAAATCTAAATTCCAAGAATTTCTTGCAGCTGGTGGTTGTGGTGGCTACCTACCTCGGTTGAGCCGACAAGTGCCAATTCAGCCATGTAAATGTCGAGGACGTGAAACAGCAGGCCAATGGGTGCTTGGCTATCGCTCTGCAGGAGCTGAACCGTGAGAACCTCCAAAAATCTGCCAATCATACTTTAACAAAAACAAAAAGAAAAAATAGATAGTCACTCCTAAGGACAGGGCTGTCTGCAGGATTAGCATCACTGTGTCTTTACAGACCTGCTCTTCCAGTTGTTTCTTTTCAGCATCTCAAATGTCTGTCTGAAGATAAAGCGGACCAGCTGGTAATGGAACAAAGGGAAATGTCTTTGTAAGTTATCAGCGATGCATTATTTTTTAAAATGATTGCGACAGGAATGAGTAGCTTAATTTCTGGGTGGTATAAATGCTTTAATTTTAAAATGGTCAAATTGAGTAAAAATTGAATCAAGCAATCTCACATAGGCAGTGAAACCTACACAAAACTGCAAATTTGAATATTTGGAAAAAAAAAAAAAAAAAACAACCAAAAAGTCAGGGCCTTTGCAAAAAGAGCTTTTCGCAGCTGTTATTACTTAAAAAACAGATGTCTTTGTGATCACACATTTGATGGTCAGCTTGAGTGTATATAACTAACATTATGACAATGTTCATTCATTTATCATACATGAATAAAAAAAATAACGCATTCTCAAAACGGCAAAACATTAAATTTTTTTTTGTTTTTGTTTTTTTTTCACACCAACCTGATAATACTTATCCATACGCAGCCTGTCAATACCGGTCCACTCTCTTTTGAAGGTCTTCATGAAGCTCTCCAGGAATAACAACTCTACATTGAAAAGAAAGTAAAGTTAAACCAGCCATCCTCAGGGGTCACAACAGTGGATTGCATACATCTGGTCATTTTATTTTTCAATCTTTTCTCGGGGTTTCATCATTTTTGTGATTTGGAATGATTTTGTTCAAAATTCAAAATCAATCAATGTCTGACTTCAATAGTTTTTTTTTTGATAATTTATTGAATGTTGTGGGCTTTCTATAAGTAAATAAATGTAGGATCTTATTAGTTTACATTTAATGTAAGTAATTAAGCCCACTTAAAGTGAAAAAGACAAAAATCTTGGTGTTCATCAGATGCGTAGTATGTTATATGTGAGCGTTCTGCATTTTGCCTAGGTGAAGTTCAGTTGTGGTCTGGGTGAGGGTCTTCCTTTGGAGGGAGAATGAGACATATGCACCTGCCACCAACACTTTGTAAACATTAAAACACGTTCACATTTTTGCACAATGACGTGCAATTACAATGATAATATGAATAAATTATATAATTTGGAAACGTTTAGCGGGCCAGATTAAGAAGCTGAACATCCAGCCCTCGAGATGTAGTTTGCCCATGCCTGGAATAAACATTCTTGCTCTTTGCACTTCCCTGAACTAATATATAGATTTTAGATAGTAGGAAATTAAACTTAAAGCTAACTAAACAACTCTACAAGCTAAGCCAGACATACATGATCAAATCAGGTTTAGTCAAGGGATACTCACGGCTGTCCAAATTTTGGAAACTGTGAATCAGGGACGAGATCTGGGTTGACAAGTTCTCCTAAAGAGGAAACATATAATATTGTATATTGACAGTCCATATGTGAAACGGTAATTGAGTGCATATATATGTGTATATATACATATATATATATGTCTTCTTGCATGATGACAAACCCACCCTAGCCTTACAGCTAATTTATTAGCTGATATGTAGGTGGCTCCATCTTTTTGAAGCATTTCCCCGTAGTTTGATAACTGTAGGACATTGCACTAAAGCACACAGGACCTACCTGAAGGATAGGTTTGTCTTGCATCCACAGACAATAGAACAGGCCCTTCCAAAGCTTAAGCAGTTCATCATTTGTGAATCCCCCTGAAAACGAAGGTTGAGAGGTCACGAGTACAAACAAGCTATCGCTAGGAAAGTTATAATTCACAAATCAACTTCAATGTGTTCATTTCTGGCCCACACATACAACTCAACAAACGCTGGTGGTTCTAAATGTTTCGGGATTTCCGTAAAATAATTTAATTTCGTTGAAAAGCTTACCTGTCTCCCTCTGTGATCTGGCAATGATGTATTTTCTTAGTTTTTTCAAAGCCCTGGTTCGAATGGGTTTCTCGTTAGAAGCCAATTTCTGAGCGAACTGGATCTCTGGTTCCAAATTCGACGACATGTTCGCACCACTTTCACGTGTGGACCCAACTGTTTGGCGCACGCGGTCAACGTATGTCGCATACCTATGACGTCAAACAACGTCATTGGGGGAAAAAACTGTGACAGAAGTACACATAGACGGCAGACAGCAAACAGACACGCGTAGTGCACTTTAATAAAGAGGAAATATAATATAATATAATATAATATAATATAATATAATATAATATAATATAATATAATATAATATAATATAATATAATATAA